ATATTTAACTAATAATATAAATAAATGTTTATATATATAAAGTAACACCTAAATCAAAAACTGGAAAATGTATTTCCTTTTGGTTTCTGTATTAAAACTGCTGTCAAGTAATTTAAATTGAAATTCAAACCATTCAAGTCATTCCAATAATTTCCAAATAACCTTTCAATTTTTAGAAATTGTTGGTGTACTCCTTTGTCTGCAGCCATCACTGGCTAAACAATGCCTCAATCTAAGCCACAATTTGATGTAAGAAACCACACCAAACTCTTATAACAACTACTCCGTTAAATTTATAGTCATGAGCTCCCCAGCTCCTCATGCGTGTTGCATCCAGCGCAGATCAGTAAAACATTTGAGCACGGTGATCAGGTATGTTCCTGGATGCCAGAGCCTGGAGCAAGGACAGAGAGCATCCGTGACAACAACAACGCCACCAACACCACCTATCCTACCACCCCATTCCATTTTGTTTGGGCCACCCTGGAGCAGAGGACAAGTGCTGCATCCCCAGACCCACCACTACCACCACGAACTCCCTCTGCTGCCTCAGTACCCTCAGTGCCTCCTAGACCCTATCACTGGCCTCCACTGGGCAACAGTATTAGGTAACTTGTGGTTTCAATAAGTAGAGGATTTCTCTTTACTCACTACAACAAAAGTTTTTTAATGTGTAAAAAACAGGTTTGACAATACAGCTATGTACCAACTGTAAATCAGCCCTGAATATTACCAATATGGAATCATAATACCATGTTGAAACATCTTTGATACAAATGAACAAGTAAGCTGCTTATATGGAAGACCGTTTGGATGATTACCCAAAAGATATCCATTAAAAAGACTTAAATTTGTAAGTTATTAAGCCCACAGTAAGAAACTAGTCCCAATTAGAATCTATCCTCCAAAATCTACCCTCTATCAGCCAGCAATAATTTTGATCCCTTTTGAAGGAGAGTATGTCATAATTTTAAAATGGGAAGTAGGTAATGGACCATTTCTTGGGTACTCTATGCCAAAGGTGATTGGTTTCAGAGGGGACCACAAATTAAACTTGGCTCCATGCACCAGCAGATAGGTAAATATGTTGGGCCCCGAGGATTCTCCCTTATCCCAGCCACTCTGGCTTCCCTTTATCCCCTATCCCAACAGGCCACTGCTGCTGCCATCTACCACCCCACGCAGGTGATCTCTCCCCACTCAGGAGATCTCACCCCACTCAAGCTCCAACACCCTGGGCCCCCCGTCAGTGCCTTCCTCCCTGTGTGGACACCTACCTTGCTTAGCCCCATCTAAATGCTTTTGAACTGAATTATTCAGCAAGGAAGCAGAGCTCTTACAATTTTAAATGTACTTGGGCAATACCTCAAATAACTTTTGGGGAGGTTCGCTCTTATCGCTTTATCATCACCTTGTATAATTCTCTCAGCATTCTTTTGAAAATAATATTTTCACGGTTTCTCCTAAGCCCTTGACAAACTGACTGAATTTTTATTTCTCTTTTTATCTGTTGCCCTTGAACCTACCCAGAGAAACTTCCTATTTGCTCCCTTTGAACAATGGCCCTTTCAACATTAAATACTCTTTCACATGATCTCATGTACCTAAAATGTCTCCTCCCGTACCAACCTGCCTACTGCGTGCCTTCACTAATTTAAAGAACACTTTCGAATCCCACCTACTGGCAGAGGGATCCTAAACAAATACAAAGAAAGTGAGGACTTTACACTAACAACACAACAGCTTACTTTGACAATTCAGAAAACAAAAGATGCTGAACTTTTATATTTCTATAAAAGTCCAATATTTTATAGAAATATTGGAGCAATCCTGTCAAGTCTGATCTACTATCTAATGTTCATGCTTTTTTTTTTTCAGTAAAGAACAACTTCTGAGCCTCAATTTCTTTATTCTTGAAATGATAACACTAACTCACCTAATTTGTTGAGAAGATCAAATAAGGCAATATGGAAGTGATTTTTATCCATAAAATAGTCATATAAATACGATTTGTTAATATCATTATTTCCTTTCTCAAATTTTACTGTGGGCCCAAAGTGTCAAATTTTAGAATATTGAGAAAATGTGTGTCTTAGTGCATACCCACTGCATTTATGAATGACTAATGATGCAATTTAAGAATCTCAGAAGCATTTTCAATCAGGAAAAAATAAGAATATTAACCTCAATGAATGTCTAGTTGGCAGCAACCTTTAATTCTCTCATTCATTCATCCATTCATTCAATAAATATTTATTTATAATATTTATTAATATTAAAGTAGTAGGTATTTTTTAGTATTTTTCTATTTTCAAGGCACTCTTCTGAGTGCTAGTTAATAAACAGTAAACAAAACAGAGTCTCTCCTCTCAGGAGCTTCCATTCAAATGCGAGGATACAGGCAATAGAAAATTAGTAGTGTTAAGTAGTGCTCAAGACTATGACAAATAAAGCACGCTCAGTGGTTAGAGAGTATCTAAAGAAGGTGGTCAAGGGAAGCCTTGTCTGAGAAGCAGACATGTGAGCGGAGATTCAAAGGAAGTGAGAGAGAAAGCCATGTAGATACCTGAAGGAAGAACATTCCAAGCTGAGCTGCAGAACTTCAAAGGCCCTGAGGCCGGGTCACACCCCCATGTTGGGAATGGCAAGGTGGCCAGTGTGCCGGAGCGTAGTGTGTGAGGGGAGATCAGCGGGAGAGGAGGCGGGAGAGGTACACACAGGCAGGTCATGTATAGCCTTGAAAACAATGGTTAAGGAACTTGGATTTGATAGTGGGTCAAATCCTGGGGGTCAGGAGGCCTCGGAAGGATTGTGAGCAAGCAAATGACATGCCAGATTTATGTTTTGATGGGATCACACAATAAACTACATTATCTGTATATCTTTTGTACTTCTTCAATATTTTTTATTATTATTTTTAACCATTTGCATCCTCTACTCTGCTGTGTCCAATGCTGCTTTGAGACTGAGTAAAATGAATCCTGATAACTGAACACTGGTTTTGACAATATGGAGGTCATTGGTGGTCTTGACAGAGGAAGTTTCTGGGGACTATCAGAGGAAAAGAAGACTGAAGTGGTATCTGGGGCAAATTGGAGCAGACGATTGTAGAGACAGCAGGTATAGACAACTCTTTCAAGTTTGCTGCGAAATGGAGCAAAAAATGAAACTGAAGTCAGAGAAGCCTGAAGGGTCAGGAAAGGAGATGTTCCATTCCGTTTGTATGTTGATGGGGAAAATTCAGTAGAAAAGATTTTTTTTTTAATGATGATCTAGGAAAGGGGGAGAGTATTTGAAAGAAGTAAATCTATGAAAGAAGTGAAAAGGGAGAGGATTTGCAAAGGTGAAAATGTTGGCATTCACGCAGCAGGGACAGTACATCTCCTTTCAACACGAAGGAAGAAAAGAAAAATATGTGAGTACAGATGTAGAAAGACTGGTAGATTTGGTGATGGGAAGATATGGAAGTTTTCTGATGGCTTATATTTCCTCAGTTATATAAAAGCAAGAAAGCCGAAGGGTGAGTATGGGGAGGGAGATCTGGAGGCTTGAGGAGAGAGAAAGTACAGAATAATCATGCTGAATGGCAACTTTGTCTTTCTATGTGCCCTTGTTTTCTCAATCATTCGTGACTGCTTCATATTATAAGCTTTTAGAGGGAAGAAGTTATGTTGACCTTGTTTGTTCTGTATATAGAAAAGAGTCATATACTAAAATACGACGGAATTGTTGCCATGATGTTGGATGGCCAGAACATTCAAGTTTGCCTAAGTAAAGTCTTGGGGGGGGGATGCAAAAATAGGTGACCTTGATTAATTACAAAACAGTATGCCACATTTTGAGCATAAAGAAATAGAAGTATAAACAGTATATACCATGCACTCAAAAACTCAACAAGCATATATTCATCAGGTGCTTTTTAATTTTCTAAGAGTTCTGGGATGTTACAATTATTACTTATACTTAAATCACACTGACAGACTGGACACCTGGTTTCTCTAGTCACATAATTAAGTTTACATCTCAGTATTACCATTTAGCTTACTTTCTATTTTATGAACTCAAAATTAATCTTATAAGGTCAAAAACTCAAATACACCTTATTGTGGTTTTTATAACTTCAAACCACAAATGAATTCAACTTTTTTTCTGACCTAGCAAAGGGAACTCTTACCAATGTCAGTTTCCTAATTATTCTCCCTGAACTTGGGTGTGGCCAGCCTATACTGCTAGAAGCATTATATCTACCTAATTAGAGAACAACAAATTTGACTTTTGAAGATAAATGCACATGTCAAGTATCAGAGAGTGTTTTTCCTTCGCCTATTTTAAGGGTTGCATTTGCTCCTTATGTGTATAAATAATATATTATTACAATTTGATATTAGCTACCCAGTCTTCAATAGAATGAGAGCTAAGAATAAATCAATAAACATTCGCAATTATTTTCTACAACTCTATTTAATCTCATTTTCTGGTGATATTTAAGTTCAGCCTCATTTATTAACACTCATTTAAAGAAATCTAAAACTCAACTAACTGTCTATGATAATTTCATGTTTTGTTGTACCGTTTCCTTCCACTAGGTCATCTGTTAATACCTCTAACATATGAGAGCCCTCTTAGGAAGGATTGCTGTGAATACTGGCATTTGCACATTTCTAAGATGTTCCCAGGTGGACAGTTCTCCTCGATATCAGCATCATTCCATTTTTCCAATCTCTTGGGCTAGATGCAGTGGTTGTTTAACAAGACAGTGCACACTGAAGATGTATTTACCCATTACAGCATTTAACAAATTGATCGTAATTGCCAATTTGCTTGTCTGTATTCCCCTCTAGACTATAAACTCTGTGAAATCAGGGACTGTGTCCATCTAGTACATCTTTGTGTCCTCAACCTGACACATAGCAAGAGGTCAATAAAATATATGCTGAATCAGTGAAAGTCCTAGCACCTTGGAGAATGATTTTGAAGACCTCCACAGCAACCGCACTTACCTGTGAGATCCAGAGTTCTGTCCACAAAGACCACGGATGCCCTGCCCGCGGCAGTCTTCCTCCTGTTTTTGGCAGGGGCATAATTGGCCAGATCTGCAGCGATGATCCGACTGAAAGAACCTACAGCAAAACACTCCTCCCGTACCCCTAAATGCTCACACAGAGAACTGAGGCCTGACACCAGGCACCTGATCTGCAGCAGCAGCTCAGGGGTCAGGGCAGTGGCATCCACCTCACCCAGGCTTCCCAGCCTCCTCTTGTCCGGCCGGGCACTGTTAAGGAGATGCACATCCCAGGGTAGCAGTGGAAAAAGGCAAGCAAAGGCTGGAGTCAAGGCAAGGTGGGGAGCAGCAGGGGCGAGCACCAACGGGACGTGCAGCACCTCGGCGGTGTAGTTCATGTTGCCCATCCACTCACACAGCTTCTCCTCCAGTTGCTCGAACACCGGCTGCTGCCCCTCTAGCTCGGCCGCTGCCGCCGCCGGCACGTGATTAGCCGTCAGGTGGACAGCATGGTTCACGGCCGTGACCACCACACAATACTGGAAGTGACTGCGGCAGATGATGTCCCGTAGAGTCTCCACGGTCCGGCCTTTCAGCAGGCAGCTCAACACAAACACCGCCTTGGGCTGGTCGGCTCCGCCACCAACTGCGGTGGGCTCGAACTCCCGCAGGTGACACGCAGGACCCCCCACTGCTTCCAGGAGCCGCGTGGATCCGCAGCCCCAGTGCAGGCTCTCGGCGCAGGCGGCGTCCAGATAGACCAGAGCCCGTTTCACTTTGGCCAGCACCTGCTCCCAGCCTTGCTGGGTAAACGACAGCACGCCGGGGGCGCTCATAATTGAGGATCCACAGACCCGGGCACTCAAGTGCAGGAACTTCTTCCAGAACTCACGGCTTCCGGAAATTCGGCTCCCTGAGACTTTGACAATCAACACAGTACACGTGGGGCCGCCTCTGACTTGTCCAGTGACTGCGCATGGTGATGACGTCAATGGAGCGTGATTGGCTAGCGAGGAGATCCCGCTCTCGGAGGGACGCTGAGGACTGAAACCGAGAAGGGGGCAGGGCTCAGCGGCTCTGGGGTTCCTGGAAAGTTCGGGGATACGAGAAGGATCTGCCTAGGAAATAGCTGGACGGCGTTCTTTTCCTCTCCCACTCTGCTCAGATTATCTTTCCCTGCCCCTGAGAATCCGAAGTTTGATATTTTACGTGGATATGAATACATCTCTTTAAAAGTACAGCCACTTAACCGCATCTAAACCCAGAGCAGCCAGAGAAGATGAAACAACCAGCTGTAATGTTTTGTAGTTTAGAGACTGCTGTCACATACGTTATTGCACACAGGCCTCATAACAAACCTACTGGCCTCATTTCCTTTTCTCCATCTTCCTACCCTCATCTCATTGTCACTAAATCTTCATCTGGTTCAAAAATCCTAGAAGCCAGCCCCTTCTCCCTATCCTTGCTGTCACTGCCTTAATCCACCATCATCACTCACCTAGCCAATTGCAATTATGCCCCATCATTTCCCGCTTTCCATCTCTTCCCCATCCAATTCAGTTTTCTTCCTAATATACTAAGCTGGTCCTACCACTTTCCTGCTTAAAAGCCTCTCCTGGCCCAATCGCCTACAGGATACAGCTAGACTCCTTAAAAATGGCACCAAAATCCTTCATGATTTCTCAATTTCTTTCCAGCTACTTCTAGCCGGGAACATTATATATCTGCTCAGTGAAGTCAATAGATGAAGCCCAGAATGTTTCATAGGTTCAATTCATTCAACTACTATTTATTAAGCACTTACTAAGTATAATCACTGTGCTAGACTCCAAAGATACAATGATTAATAAAATACATTCCCTGATCCACAAAGAATTTACACCTGGTAAACTCCTACCAAAAATAATCAATCTAAAGATATCTTCCACGTGAGAGTTTTCCTAACTCACCATCACCACTACAATCACTCTATCCTCCTCCTCATCCACCTAGCACACAGCACTCAGTTGATACCTTTGCTAAGGACTTGCCATATCATGGGGTAAGTTTTAAGGTACCTGTTTTCCTTAACAAATCTGTTCTGCTAGATTGTGCACTAGAGGTCTGGTATCCCCAACACAAGAACATAACAGATGTTCAATAAATGTTTGTTGGATAAATGTTCGATTCATGTCCATATAATAAATAATATAGTCAACCAACTTTTAACAGACATGTACAATATTCAAGACACTTTGAGCACTGAGTATACGAAGAGAAATAAGCTATGGCCTTCCCTTCAAAAGAATCTGAGATAAAGGACCCCCACATGTAAAGCAAGCCAGTGCAACAAAATGTAACAGAAGCAATGACTTTTTTTAATGTGCAAGAATTACAAAGGAGGAAAAATAAATTCTGACTGGGTGAAGGAAAAAGGGAAGTGGTCAAAAGTAGTTTCAAATAGGACATGAGTTTTGAGTTGCGTTCAAAGAAAACCAGGTGTTCACCAGGTGGACAGGATGGGGAGGAGCATTCCTGGCAGCCAGTGCAGACAACGCAGCATGAGCAAAGCCATAGAGGCATGAAACCACACAACATGTTCTCTGGAACTACAGGTTAGTATAGCTGGAGTGTATTGTATGAAGAAAGCCCCAAGAAGAAATAGGAGCTAAGAACTAGAAAAAAACGGAGTAGATCAGGATGAATCTTATTTTCGATTTTAAACAGTAGCAGCCAATGGGGAACTATTAAAGTATTTTTAGAAGTGGAAAAGATTTGTTCACATCTAGAATTTAGGAGAAAAAACGATTCTAGTCAAGTCATGGACAATAATTTGAGCAGAGTAAGATTTAGGGCAGGGAGAGCAGTTAAGAAACAGTAACAGCAACCACTTGGGCCAGAGTAGATAAGGATACCAGTAAAGGGGATCTACAGTGAAGGGTGTCTAAGGAGATGTTAAGGAGATAGAGCCAAAAAGCCTGGTTACTGGATTGACAAAGAGTGAGGCAGAGGGAGAATTTCAGGGTAACATCCAGTTTTCTGCCTGGGTGACTGGTAAATGGCAATCACTGAGATTTAGAAAACCAGATGAGAAGCCGATTGGGGGAAAAATATACTGAGTTCAGTTGGAACATGTTTTTGTTTGTTTTCTGTTTTTCTAATCGTGGCAAAATACACATAACATAAATTTACCATCTTAACCACTTTTAAGTGTACAGTTCAGTAGCATTATTTTCACAATGTTGTGCAACCAATCTCCAGAACTTTTTCATCTTGCAAAACTGAAACTCTATGTCCATTAAACAACAACTCCCCATTTCCCCCTCCCACCTGCCCCTGGCAACCATCATTCTACTTTCTGTTGCTATGAGATGACTACTCTCAATATCTCATATAAATGGAATCATACAATATTTGTCTTTTTATGACTGACATTTCACTTAGCACAATATCCTTAAGGTTCATCCACTTTATGTGTCAGAATTTTCTTCCTTCCATTTCTTGCTCTCAGATATTATGGCAGTCAAATGAATTCCTGCTAAAATTACATGCTTAAGATCATTAGATTTACCTTATTTAAATGTGATTTGTATTTCTCTGCTCAAAACAGCCAGCAGTTATTTCCCATTCTTCATAAAATCAAGCATATCTCCCTTCACTTCATTTCAAACTCCTCCATATGCACGATCAACACGTAAGGATTCACTATGCACTTTCCACGTGCTTGACATTGTAAAAGAGGATCTGGTGAATACAGATATAAATAAATTTTGTTCTCATCCTTAAAGAGTGTGCAGTCTACATAACAGTGTAGATGCAAATAGGAGATGATATAATTTTCCAGAAATAACTAGTAATATAAAATTTAGTGTTAAAATATGTCAGAATACAGAGGAAGATGGATAATTGGGGCTTAATTCCTCATGGAAGTATCTAGAGAGGAAGAAAAGCTCTATACATGTGCCATTATTCAGGTTGTTCAAAGGACGAAAAGTCTAACCATAACACACCACATGCTTGCCTCTAACTTGTCAAATGATTTGACATTTGAAACTTCATTTTAGCTCTGTTATCCTCCCAAGAAGTGGGTGTAAAGTGTTATTTTAATATATCAATTAACTGGTGAGGAAACTGAGGAACATTGAGATTTAAGTGACATATTTAAAATTGGCAGCAAATAGCACAGTTAAGCCTAAATGTCCTATCCATTCAAAACACATTTATGAGTACTTGCTAACTACTAGATACCTAGCAAGGCATTTTTATTTGATCTTTACCTCTTGCTATCATTTTAATCATCATCTACTAAGCATTCTCTTTCAGTACTTCTGAGAGATAGATATATTAAAACTGATGCTTTGTTGTTGTTTTTTTTTTTTGCCAAGAACCAACAGATCACACACACCAAAAAAACATTCTTTAAAGTATTTGAACATAATACAAATATAACCAGAATACATGAAGTATTGTAGTTTGATAAGGTCATAATTTTACACAATATCTTCAAACCACCTGTCTTTGAAGTCTCCCCTGGTGAGGAGGGAGATAAAGACACCTTTAACTAAGGAAGTTTATCCAGGCAAGGAACTCAGTTTGGAAGCAAGGAAGGAATAGGCCTTTTAAAAGTGATTATTAGTGATTTATAGGCTTCTCTGCTTGTGGAAATCTTCATTTTCGAAGCTTAGCTCAAATGCTACCTCCATCATGAAGGCGATTCTGATGCACCAATTATTATTCATCAGTTCTTCAGTTCAGTTTAAGTAACGCCTTGAAAGACAAGCTCATTTCAGGCATCTGAAAGGAGAAAGAGGCTGCTCAGCAAAAGGCAATTGGTTCTCCCATGAAACCACCAAAGTTCATTATAGACTCACGGAATGATAAATAGAAAGATGAATAGGACTGTAAGTGATTGCCTTATGATACTCCAAGCAGAACATAAAAACTTTCATTCCATTACTGTCAGTAAAGGCCAAGAAGATCTACTAAGTGTTAGGCACCATACCAGGAATGAGAGTGACATATAAAAAAATGCCCTGCTCGGGGCCGGCCCCATGGCGTAGCGCTTAAGTGCGCGCGCTCCACTGCTAGTGGCCCAGGTTCGGATCCTAGGCATGCACCAATGCAACGCTTCTAAGGCCGTGCTGTGGCGGTGTCCCACATAAAGTGGAGGAAGATCGGCACGGATGTTAGCTCAGGGCCAGTCTTCCTCAGCAAAAAGAGGAGGATTGGCATGGATATTAGCTCAGGGCTGATATTCCTCACAAAAAAAAAAAAAAAAAAAAAAAAAGCCCTGCTTGAGGGAGGACTTGGTCTAATGAAGAATCTTAAGAAAACAGATATGTAGTCAAATAATTACTACATGATGTGATAGATACATGCCATAGAAGCAGCAAAAGTTCTACAAGAGAGTAATTAGCTCTTCCCTACTCACTCCCTAATAACTCTGACATCATCTATATCCTCTTCCTCCCTAATTCTACTCTGGCTACATTTTGGGTTCCTTGAACACCTTAAGTGTGCCTCTGCCTCAGGACCTTTGCACCTCTGTCTGATAGGCTTCACCCAGAAATCCACAGGGGTTATTTTCTCTCTCCATTCACGTCTCTACTCTTATATCACCTCATCAGAGTGGCTTTCCCTGACCACTTGATATAACATTGCATCCTATCCCTCTTCATCACTCTGCTCTGAGTCCTCCTATTCTGCTTACTCTTCTGTATAATCCTTATCATCACTTGACGTATTGTACATTTATGGTTATTGGCTCTCTCCCTCATTAGAATGAAAGCTTCATGAGACGAGCACTTTGCCCTATTCATTACCGAATCTACACAGCCTGGAAGAGTTTCTGACACTTAGTAGACCATTCATAAATATTTATTGAATAAATAAAGAAATGGGAGGAGACGAAGTGGAATTCAGGAAAGATTTCACATACAAAGTTGATTATAACTCAACAGAGTTCAGAAGGAGGT